GTTCGGGCCCGGCCGGTCCTCAGGACCGGTCGTAGACTTTAGGTTCCTATTACACGATCGCGCGTCTCGGTCCTTGCGCACTGATTATGAGACTAAATATTTTGCTTAGACGACATCAGTTTTTGTTCAGTCAAGGCTTAAGAAAAAAAATACAATATTTTAAGAATAGTTAATTCCATACTCAGAATGTCAATACAAAAAGAATTTATTGAGACTCCTCTCAGAAGACCCTTGATAGAAAACTCTGGTCATCAAGCCGATATTTCAGCGGACGCACCACGGTTCCTAACACTGCTGCTCATTCTCCACTTGGCCCGCTGTTGGTAGCCCACTTGACGACCGAGTCTGGGCCTGAACGGAACGGCAAGCAAAACGGGCTGGGTGCTTAACATGTTAAACAATGCAAGTAATTATTTAAGTACTTATATACTTACATAAGTACATATAAGTACTACATACACCAGCTCTGTATGATAAGAATCTGGATTAAGTAATTGAGAATTTTGAAATACTGTGAAAAAAACTTTAAAGTGACTTAATATTTCATTTTGATATCAAAGTTATTTGTGTTATATTATATTCATATTACATTAAACGAAATTAAAAAAAAATAATCATTTTAAAGTATAATTCATACAGGGGAATTAAAAACTAAGCCAAAACATTATAAGTATTTTATAAACATATAAAAGTCATTAATTTGCTAACATTAAAAATGTCAATTCCTTAAAAATAATTTACTAAGCAGGAGACCAATACTAAAAACTGGTGACAAAGTTTAAAAATATGTTTTATCAATAAAATTTAATGGAATTGGATAAAATAAAACATGCATGACAAGCATGATTATTGTAATATGTACATATAGTAAAATAATTAATAAATAACTCTAAATTTATGTCATAACACAAACATGAGTAGCAGTATAAGTTTCATAATTTTTGGATATAAATAAATTAAATTAATGCTTCTTACTGGTTGCTTTAGAGATATAGTTATAATCTTCCTTTATGATAAAAATCAAATACAATTTAAAATATTTGAAAATTTGGAGTAATAATAGGAGGTCAAAATTACAAATTTTTGAGGATTACCAATATAAGAATCATCATAAACATTACTGACTAAAGTTGGTAAATATGAATCATATTCATAACTCATATATTTAAATGCTTATTATATCCAGTGCATAAGCAAACTTCTTGTTAACCATGCTGTGCATACACAAATATTAAGTTATAAAAAATGAAATTAATATCGCGTTACTATTTACCAATGAAAATAAAGAATCCAGAATAATAAGAGTAGAAATTTTGTTTTAATAATACATTTAGGATCGTACAATTTTACTTCGTAAGCGAGCAGAATGGGCCAAAAGTCTTGGAGAACCTCGTGCTGCAGCAGAAATGTTTCTCTCAGCAGGAGATGTTGATCGCGCGATAAATATAATTGCGGAATATGGCTGGATAGACATGCTAATCAAAGTTGGCAGACAACTTGATAAAGCAGATAGAGATAATTTAACTGTAATTGCTAAAAAATTGAAAAAATTGGGTGCAGCTCACGGTGCAGCTGAAGTTTTTAGTCGTTTAGGAGATGATCCTGATGTAGCAGATGTTTTAGTAGAAGCTCAAGCTTGGCCAGAAGCATTTGAATTAGCTGATAGAAATCCCAAACTGAAAACTAGAATATATGGACCATATGCTAGATGGTTAGCAGAAACTGGTCATTTTTCTGAAGCTCAAAAAGGTAAAAAAATACTAATGGTACTTTTTTTATCAAATTTTATTAAAATTTCTTTATTTTAAATAGAATTTAACTAAAACATATTAAAAATATTTAGTATGTGAAGAGAAAATAAATAATAATTTATTAGTATTAAATTTATGTAAAACAGTAATATTCTCTGAAAATATTAAAAAATTCATTCAGTTTTATAGCATTTCAGATAGCTGGCCAATCAGATGAATCTGTGATGGTTTTAAAAATGTTGGCTAGAAATGCTGTTACTGAGAAAAGATTTCGTGATGCTTCTTACTTTTATTGGCTTCTTTCTCAAATCAGTTTAAATCTTAATAAAACTGTGGATGAATTACAATTAATGTTTCTTCAATATTATGAAAAAGCTGAAATTTATTATGCTTATCATGAAGTGCATAAGTATGTGGTAAGCAATTATTATGTGTACTGTACAACACATTAATAGCTGTAACTTTAATATTAGCATTAAGAATTTATTATGAAGAATAGCAGACTAATAAAAATGCAAAAAATTACTAAAATTACATTTAAAACTTTATATTAACTCCAATTATAATAAAATGATATGAAACTTTATTAGAATTTATTAAATAATTACTTTTTCAGGAAGAACCATTTACGTCTTTAATGCCGGAAGCTCTTTTCAATATTGCGCGATTTCTTTTAACTAAAACTGAAAATATTCAAATGGAAGGAATTTCAAAATTCATTATAATATATACGTTATTAAAACAGGCTACTTTTCTTGGTGCTAATAAATTAACTATGCAGTTACTTGAGAAACTACGAAAAACAAAAATTCCAGCAAGTCAACTTAGTCAATTAGATATTTCAAATTTAAATACTCGAGCTTTTTCTTATCGAGATCCTGAAGAACTTTTACCACTTTGTTATAAATGTTCAACCTTTAATCCTTTGTTGCCATCAAACAATCAAGGGCAATGCGTGCAATGTGGACTAAAATTTCAATATTCTTTTGTAATGTTTGGTAAGTGCTGTTTTTTAAAGATCTAATTCAATTTTCATACGTTAAAGATACAAAAATAAATATAATACTATAAAATATTTATTATAATATTTATTATTAAAATCAATATATTTTTAACAATATTAAAATTTGCAAACATTTTGCAAACATCTATACGTTTTCACAAATACTGAGATAAAGACTTTTAAAACATATTACACGCATTAGTATGTGCTATTTAAATTTTACTTCAAAAGGTGCTACTACACCAGCCATGATGAATAATTAATGTTATGTTAATAAATTTTATATTGCCAGTATCTTTACCTATCGACGATAGGAAAATTTTCATAATAGTTTTAGATTGTAAATTACAAATATTATTCAAGATAAAATAAATATTTGTTATATACAAAAACTAAAAAAAGTATTACAAACAAAAACAATGACACTGTTTTTGTGCCTTTGATCAGATTTCCGTAATGTCCTATAAAAATAAACAGTTAAAAATTTCGAAATGTATTTATAATATTATTAAAATGAAGGGAAAAAATGTAATATATTTGCTGAAATTGCAGAAATGTTGCCATTGGTCGAATTTGAACTAGAAGAAAATATTTCTGATGAAGAGGCAGAAAAATTAATAAATGAATCACTATCATCATGTGATATTACAGATACAGATCAATTTTCTATTACTCCTGAAGTAGATCTTTTTACAGCACGTTTAATGAAATATGAGGTACCATCATTTATTACTAATTAACCTTAATAGATATATAATTTCATAGTTAAAAGTATAATTAATAAAATAATGATATTGGGAAATATTTTTGACTATCTTTATTCCATATATTAGTAACGTATTTGAGTATAATAGTTTTATCATAAAATTACAATAAATTTAAATTTATTATATTTATAAATTTTAGGAAAAATCTAGTGCTACTATAGTTGTTGGAAGAAATGTTTTAAAGAGTATGGATCCATGTACAGTCTTAATCATTAAATGGCCAAAACCCTTTAAAACGAAATACTTTAAAAATCTTTTACCTGATTTACAAATTACATTTTGTAAGTCTTGTTTAAAGGTATGTTGTTATCAACATTTAAATTAAGCTTTATTAATATTTACTATTTATATTTCAATATGTTTATAGAAATTAAATTACAAATAAATCTCCAAAAGGTATTGTTGATTAATTAAAATAAAATTTAGCGGATATTATGAGGAAAAGAAATAGACTCCAAATACGAAAACTTAACTTTGATAATTCATACATCCCAAAAATATAAATCTTCATATATAATAAATTATATTCGATAATAACGTCAGTTGAATGAAAGATACGTATCGCAACCTTTTATCTGAGTAGAAATATAGATATAAATATAAATTATTCATTAGAATTATCGTGAAATTTATACCATTTCTAGTATAAACTCCAGCAATATTGGTAGTCGCATCTTTTGAACTTATAAAAATTGAAATTTCATATATTTCATACATTTTTTCTCATAACATCCACCAAGTTTTATTTAGATCAACCAATGATACCTTTTGGAATAATGTTCATATAAATAAAATCAAAGAACTTCAAATTTCAATATACATAATGCAATAGATAATAGAAGAGGTAAGCTATTTTTTTTTATTATATTTTTTAGCTATTTCATTTGGATGATTATGAACTGGCATTATTACGACATGGATATTGCCCATTTTGCAGGACAATAAATAAAATGTCTACTTAGATACATTTATATAAATACAATATTATTTTTATTGTAATAAATCGTTATCATTATAAATAAAATTTATCTTAGATTAAAGTAACTGGATTTAAATAATGTATATTTATGTATTCTGCATTATTTTATTATATCTTTTAATACATTTAATAGTTTACTTAATACTAAATAAATAAATAACAAATACTAATATTTTATTTAATAAGATAGATTACATTTAATTACATTAAATTAAAATTATTTAAATGTTAAAATTAATTTTGTAATTTATCTAAATAATTTACATGAATTTAACTAAATAGTTATTGAATTAACTAACTTAATATAATATATATATATATGTATATCTGTATCTTGGCTAAATTTTGTATGTTCGAATTCATTGATAATCCAGTTATGCAATATGAGTAAATAGCAGATTAGTTTCTATTTACTTGCTAATTGTTCTGATTTCTTGAGTACCGTTAAACGACATCTTCGGAAGAATTGTACAATATTTCGAACAGTTACAATTTGAAAGATGTTGCGTACAATTTTCTTGACAATCTTCCTTCTGGGAAATTTCGCTAATTGTCGAATAGATAACATCATGGAAATTCAAAATTCAACGACTCACGGAAGATGTAAGTAACAGAAACAAAGTAAAAAAGTTAGTTGTAAAAATTAGTTAATTAGAAGATGTAAGTAACAGAAACAAAGTAAAAAAGTTAGTTGTAAAATTATATGTGAAAATAATATAAGAAAAAGTTGATAAATATATTAAAAATGGTATGAAATTATTATATGAATTTTTAAACAGTTTTCCCGCTATTCAGTGTTATTCGTTTTGCAAACTCACAATGTCTTGCTAGCAACAATTTAAATGGTACTTGCTTTACTAGAAGAGAATGTCGTGATTATGGTGGAACACCATCCGGGAATTGTGCAAATGGACATGGTGTTTGCTGTGTTTGTAAGTAATTGTATAATTTAACTAATTTTTATGAAACTTAGCAAATTCATTCAAATATAATTTTTATAGTTCAAAAGACGTGTGGTTCCACAACAAATGTAAATAATACATATTTTACAAATCCAGAATATCCAACAACTTATGAAGGACAAGGACGATGTACTATAACAGTACAACGTTGTAACTCAAACATATGTCAAGTAAGCTAACAAAATGCACTTGAACTTTTAAATTCATATTATTATTTTGATAAAAGTGATTAAATTATGTTATAGTTCCTTTGTATTAAATAGCAAAAATATTAATTTACTATTTGACATATCATTTGACATCATTGACATACCACTAGCATTCAATTTATTTTATTCTATTTAAAATTATATCATCATTAGTGTTTTACTTATATTACAAATTGATTTTAGTTACGTTTAGATTTCTTGGAATTTAGTCTAGCGTCACCAAATGCTAGTGGAATTTGTGACTATGATCTTCTTTTAATATCTGGAGCTGGAAGTATAGTACCACGAATTTGTGGAGAAAATGCAAATCAACATGGTAATAAATATAATTAACTATAGAATGATAATAAATGAAATTACTAATAGATAGATAGTTTGTCTTACAAACTCTGAACACTTAAATATTTTCATTATTTCAAACAATATGAGAAAATATTACATACAAAAGTTGTAGTGTTTAAGAAAATACATAATATGATATAAATGGTATTTTTGTAGGCAGAAATATAAAAGAAACACAACTATATTTTTTAAATGGAATATGCAATTCTGTTATACTTGGCTTTAATAGAATGATGATGTTTTGATGTATAAAAATACTTAGGTACATTTATTTTGAAACTTAATGTATAACTAACAAAACTTAATGTTTTTGACTAACTTTTTCTCACATTGTTTGAAATAACAACGATATTTAGAACAAAATTCGTGAGACACACTGTATATACTGATTAAATTATAAATAACAAATAATACAATCATAAATAAGTGTAACATGGTTATAATTTTACAGTATTAAGCATTATAAAATATTTAGTATAAAATATGAGAAGTATAAGTAATATAGTTGATTAATTTTTAAAATATATTATGTTCACTTATAAATAGTATTCAAATGAAGATATATGGAAAATAAAGTCAACCATAGTATAAGCCAGATTGTATCAGTATATTGTAATATTAATTTCTAAATGAATTACATACAAAAAATCATATATTATAAGGGAAACTTTTTTTTCAACTAGTAGTAATCGCATCTCGGTAATACCCCATCGGTTACGATATCGTCATTGTGTAAAAATGAATATAATAATATTATTTAATTAGTCATATTTTATCCAGATAATAATTATTAAGAATTTATTTAAAATCTTTAGTAAATAGTAAAATTGCTCCTCTTGCTTAAACAGAATTACTCAAAAAATGGTGATAAAAATTCAGTTACATTAGAGAATTATAATTACTTAATTAGAGAATCACACACTGAATCAAGTAATAAATTTATGTTTATTTGTGCAAATATAAATACATTTTATTACCAATAATATTTATAGTACTGGGCCTTAATTAATCCTTTCACTAATTTAAATTTTTTTAGTGTACATGGATTTCAATGGTAATACACCCATTATGATATCGATTGATACTAATTCCGAATATAGTACAGATCGTCGTTGGAATATAAGAATACAACAACTTCCTTGTGATTCCACATACAAAGGTACATCATTTTGCCATCTTTTTCAAAAAGATTTTATTTTAAGATTACGTAAAATTCATCAATAACATATAATGTTAAAGATTCCTAACTTTAATAACTTTAATTATATAATTTTCTTACAGCTCCAAATGGATGTTTGCAGTATTATGATACTGTCACAAATACTGTAACAAGTTTTAATTATGGCACAACACAGAATCCAAGAGGTACTGTAGCTATTAATATTTTGCAAAAATTAATTATTTTATAAAAACAGTTAAGTAAATTATTTGTATAAATTATTATTTACTTAAAATATATATAAAATGTTCTACCGTGTATATACCTATCGTTATGAATTTTCAGGCATTTCTGATAATTTAAGAAAAAAAGTTTCAAATAAAAATTTGTTAATCCATTTTGTTAACAGTTGGGCCCAAGTATTATGGAGTTATTTTGTTATTAATCGGAGTTATCATTTAATATAATAATTTAAATATAAGCACACTATCCTGTTCCAATCAGTTATACAAATTTACTATATTGCTTGAACTAACCATACATTTTGAATGTATGTATGTATATTCAAAATGAAAATTTTCAACAAAAGAAATTAATATTAATTGATTTTTTAAATTTTTTTATACAGAACTACAATATATTTATGATAAGAAATTATAATAAATTTAATGATCATAAATACACTATGAAAAAATATAACAAATTTTTTATAAAAGGAAAATTAAAAAATTGTTTATTTTTATGATACTTTGAGTATATATAGAGCATCATACGTTATATATGGAACAATTTTTTGTTTTGCAAAATATTATTTGAAGGGAGTAAAGTTAATGTTCCCAATTTCAGTAAATTTTTATCTTTCTAAATATAATTTTGTAATTGTGTATTAACCACCTTAAAAAGATTTTCTGTCCATATAAAACTCATTATGCTTTACATGCAAACAAACTTTTATTAAAATGAAAATTTTCTGATTAAATAAATTTTCTTGTAATATAATGTGCAAATATTTTTTGATTAAGTTTTCAAATAATTGACTCCTCGCCGATTTCGATGATTTTCAAGTATATTATAAAGAACCAAATTTTGAAAACATTTTTCTTCTGATTATATTGTTCAGCCCGTTTTAGTTTCCGAGATATTAGCAAAACTTCTTTCGCACTATTACATTAAATTCAGTCTATAGGTACTTACGTAAGTATATACATACCCTAGCAGCATATACATCACATTGATGCACCGTTTATCTGCTGCTGTTTATATACATTGTTTCTGTATTACGAAGATCGGCATTCTTTGTGTTTATGCAACAAATAAACTTAACGATCCAATTTAATTGGACCTTTTTTACGCGTTAACCATGTCAGCGTTTTACTTTCTTCTCGCTCGGTTCAGAAAGTAATATTTATTTCAATGATTATACTTTTTCAATTTATGATGTTATATACATATGTTAAATGGTTACAGTCGTCGAGACGTATTTACATAAACAGTAGCTAAAGACTAACGCATGTATACTATGGACGTGCACATATGAGCAAAATTCAATAATTGTACTAAAAACTTTTTTATTAATATCTCGGAACTATTAAATACCCAATGCTAAAATTTTAGATTCAGAATTTACTTCTTAACTATTCTGTCTTCCCAAAATTTCACCTTGATTGGTCACTGAGGCCTTTTGGAACTACAGTCGAATAGATTACTAATTCAGTAATGAATATTATTTTAGCTCCAGAACTTGGTACACGACAAATCTCAAATACAAATTATGGTGTATGTATACGAATGGCACAAGGATATTGTGCCATTGAATGGTCACAAACAACTTCCAATTCATTTACGGTTTCTGGAGATACAGGTTCATTGGATCCCAGTATAATAGGTAAGGTGCAATTATGTTATAAAGCCAAAACCAAATTTTGAATAATTTTTTTCTCTGGTAATATTTCTGATCGGCTTTAGTTTCTGAGATATTCGCAAAATTTGTTTCTTACTATACATTGAATTCAGTCTATACGTATATATGTATATCAGAAGTTACAATATAGCGAGGTTGTAAAATCGACATTTATTAAAATAAACATATTTAGATGCCGAACAAGTGGTTAATAGATAATTACATTTTCAACCATTCTTCGAGTGTTGAATTCAAAGTTATGAATGCCGTAACATCGATCAGTGTCAAAGATCCGATCCTCTGTTATCTATAATCTCGCTATATCTTAACAATTTAATTTACAACCTCGCATGTACAGTAGCACATGAAAGTATTCAAACACTACAATTCAAAATAATTCTCTAACCCAAAAATTCTGATTGAAAATTTATGTATACGTAAAACAACAACGAGTTACGTATGCAGTCATTTTTTTGTTGGCAGAAAATTACATTGAGGGAGTAAAAGCAACGACTAAAGTTTTAACAATTTTTTTTATCCTTAAATGGGACTTCATATGGAGAAATTTTTAGTATAGAGTGACAGAGCACCAAAAGTTAAACATTTTTTTTTATCTCGAATCATCATACAGTTAAAAATAAAAAAAAGAACTGAGATCGGACTATAACGTTGAGCAACGATTTCACCCACGTGAAGTAATATCTGTAAATAAAAAAAATTGAACCATGTGTAACTCGTTATGCTTTATGTATACATATATTTTCATTAAAATCAGAATTTTTTAGTTAAAATTTGTATAACGTCCGAATATTTTCATGCATCCGTAGCAGCGTCTGCATCAGCGTTGATCCACCATTTATTTACTGTTTATATAAACGTAAGATTACAATTAATAAGCAGTCTGAATAGGTAATCTTTCAAAAAAATATCTTCATTTTTGATAATTTCGTATATTTTGTAGATACTTTGACCCACACGCATACACTGAATTATATTTAGTAATAGGAACGGAATTTTACTCATATTTCGGTAACTAAAGCTAACCCAATAATATTGCAAAGAAAAAAATTCTTTAAAAGTTGGCCCTTTGTAATATATTCTAAGGTCATCAAAACCTGAAAGGATCTAGTCAGTGTAGAACTTTACACTGACTGACAACTTCAATTTTCAAGATAATAATAAAAAAAATGTTTATAATACAATACATTTAATTTTACCTATACGTGCACTTTTGTGGTAGTGTATGCAGACATTTGAAACTCTAAGGAAATAAAAAAGAAAATCAGTCTTTTTTAATCTACAAAGATAGTGTGCCCCCTTATATGTGTTTAATTCTCTTATTACATGTTCATTTTAACTAATTATGAAGCTTAATTAAAAAAATGTAGAATTATTACAATGTACTATACAGGATGGAAAATATAATTTGTCGTGAGTAACATTCTACACCTATAGCGAATTCTACACCTTCGAATTGTTGGAGATTTATTAAAAAGAGTTTCCGCAAAGATGACCTTAACCGATTTTTTCAGAGTCAAATTTCTTTAATTATGCCATATTCTACTTGTTATAAGGAACAAACTTGTCAAAAAAACCGTATGTTCTACTATATTTTTTAGTACATTTTGATTATATTCATAATAATGAAAAAATATTCAACAAATGCTTCTTGTGATCGAAGAGGCATTTGGAAATTATTATTTTGTGAAATATATAAAGTATGGCTTTTATGGAGTGTATGAATATTTTTGTGACGTAAAAATAGGGTATCATTTTACTTATAATTTGTTATAATAAATCCATATAAATTTATTACATAAAACATATGTTTTTGTTAACTTAAATAAATATCTTCTCACTAGAAGAAATAATGAACACGATCCATTTATAAGTATCTGCGATATGATATGATTAATTCAGACATACCTTGATGTTCGAATATTTTCATAAGTCACTGTAGATCAGGAATGGAAATACGCAATATTGAGCAATTAAAAACTCACATAAATCGAACATTTTATGATTAACAAAATATTCCGAATATGTATGAACAAATAAGAAACAAGTAGAAGTTCGACTGCGAGAGTGCCTACAAAATAATGGTAGCTATGTGGAAGCTGGCACACAAGTTCAATTGATACGCAGTATTCAGCAGAACAATTCTATTCTTTAGGTTAGGGCAAGAAATAGCATATGGTCATAATTTCAACACATAGGCGTTGATAATCAATCATTACTCAAAATATAATCATTATGTAAATAAAATCTAATTAAATAATACTTTTTGCCATTTTACAAGAGAATGGCTAAATTAGGACACAGTTCTTTTGGAAAATTTTCTCCTCATAATATGGATAGTACAATATGATTAAACAAAAATTTGATTGTGAAGAATCAGACAAGGTCATTTTTGTAGGAATTTTTTCTAATAGATGTCCACTAACTCAAGGGTATAGAATTTTCTTATGCTATTCAGGACAAAACACTTCTTTTTATCATGTACTAATAGAATATTAGATTTCAAATAAAGCCTTAAAAACTGATACAAATATTGATAGCTTTATGTAACTCTTGTCAATTTTTTTTGAGATTTTTAATAATAATACATTCTAATAATTAGAAGTAAGACTGGTATCATTGTGGAATCGATATTATAAAAAACAATGTATTTTTTAAATATTATAATACAAGAAAAATTCACCAATTCTATATGAACAAATTATATGAAGATGGTAAAATATTTTCTTTGCTTTTTGAAAAATCAACAGAATCACTTTTTATATGAATCCTTAAATTTTTATATAATTTTTTAATGGGATTATAGCATTGAATTATAATAACTTAGAATTAAGTTTTATACACTTCTAGTTTTGCTCTTTTATTTTATTACAAAATTATTCAGCATTATTTTAGTGTGAAGTCTTCTGATTGTCTTTATTTAGTCATACCAATTTGTTAACAAAAATATAGCTGGTTAAAGCGAAAATTGTTTAAACTGGAAAAGGCAGTCTACTATATTAATTTTTCTGTAATATTATACAGGATGTCTTGTCTTTGCCCATCTCAAATTATCTCTGTTATAGCAAATAGTAAGCAAATACATTATTTATGAAACTTAAATTATTATAAAAAGAACATAACATCTGATAAACATAAAATTTATTTACTAGAAATGTGAAAATTAATTTAGTTTTCGAATTAAATATACATCTATTTATGGTCAATAGGACAACAAATTTTGAGCATAAAAGTACAAAATATATTTATTCTAACTCATTCTATTGTTCCTTCTTTATAACCATAGAATTTTTGTCACTATTGTTATTATTTATTATTCGAAATAATGAAAATATTTAAAATAGTCAAAATTGGTTAATTATTCTATATTTCGTTTATATTACAGTACAGTAAAAATATGTATTTTTAAAAATAACCTTTCTTTTATAAACAAATTAATATTTCAATATTATTAATTAATATAATTATTTTCCAATCGATAAATAGGTACTGAATTTGCAGCAGAATCAGGAATAGAGTGCACAAAAGATTTTGTTATTATTCCACATCCCTTTACAAATGGTGTTGCTGTTGGAACTGAACGATTTTGTGGTAATGGTTTTACAACAAAAACATGTAAGTATACCTTAACATCTTTATAATTTTCATTTTTAACTATTATGAATAATATAAAATTAAATTATATGTAAAATTGTATGTTACATTGTAAAATATTTTTTTGTTCTATATTAGTAGGATATTATGAAAAACCAAATACAATAAGTTAAATTATAAGACAAAGTTAAGAAATTAAATATGTAAATATATATGTATACACTTGTATTATGTTCCTTCTTCAGATGCTTTACTTCAACTGCATTTCAATGCTTTGAAATTCTTTGAACTTCTAATATTTTCCTTAATTTTGTTTTTGATAATTTTCTTATTATTTTAAGCGTTTTATTTGAAATATACTTCAAAACACAATTGGATAATAAGTACCAATTTAAACATTTTTTATTAATTACATTGAAAATTGTATTGGAGCTTTGCTGAAATTCAATATTTATAGAATTTCTAACTATTTTTTATTGGAAAATATGAAATTTTGATAAATTAAGGAAAGTTAAATATAGATAGAAAATAATTATATTTAATTTTGAGTACATTTTTTATTCTGTCAGTGTTATAATATTTGAAATCATTTTCAAGGTATTCTTCAGATCAGGTTTTCTTACACAGGTTTTATAAAAGAAGTTAGATATTTCTTTTTTTACAGTATTTTTCTACTAAAACAAACTGCATAATTTGTATATTTATTTTATGGATGCAGAAATGAAATTTTCCATTTAGATATTTATTGTCATTACTAATTCCTGTTTTTTCTAATTTGTCTACTAATACTTACAAACACAAAAGCAATATGCTTATCCAAAATATTTGCGATTAAAAAAAAAATATTACAAAATATTGTTTTATAATTAATAGACATTTAATCTGGCATGTAGAAAATGTGGAATGTGATTGAATATAAGAGTAAAATTGACCATAACTATTTGACAAAGGTTTATTGTTGATATTTAAAATAAAAATAATTTCTTTTTTATCTTATTATTTTCAATTCAAATTTAGATTTAATAACATTTAAAAACATTACTGATAATATGCTTATAAGATATATTGACCATAATTATTTGACAAAGGTTTATTGTTGATATTTAAAATAAAAATAATTTCTTTTTTATCTTATTGTTTTCAATTCAAATTTAGATTTAATATCATTTAAAAACATTACTGATAATATGCTTATAAGATATAGTTATTGCTAAAGCATTATATTACAGAATTTATGGATAATGTAATCAAAGTAGAATTCAATAACTTCTTTGAATATATTAATGTCTTAGAGAATATTCTGGTATCCAATATCTGTGTAATTTATTCTAAAGTGAATAGTTGATAGTTTGTCTAGTATAAAACAATAATTTAATTCAAATTTCTATGATCATGCTTGTATGATTTGTAAATGTTTGCAATATATAGATCTTACAGTGGCTGTAACATAACATAATACATATACATATATGTAATTAAGTTCTGGTGATCTTCTGACTTTGTGAGTATATAAAGTTCTGTTACAAATCATACAATGCACGTAGAAGAAGAAAATTAAAAGTAATAAATCATATACACAATATTCAAGGTATACATGTATATAACATATAATTAGAGAGTTTTATTAATAATTCATTTTGTTTTAGCATATTCTAAGCCATTTGTGTTATATGTTATTACAAATGAAGATGAAGTTGGTGAAATTCAAAACAAGGGTTTCTCATTGACATACCGTCAAATACCTTGTGCCGCTTAAATGAGAAATGTTCCTATTTTATATAAAATATATACAATGCAATATAGCAACATAGTACATAATGTTAGTATAATGTTTAACAAAATTATTAACTTTTATAAAACTCTTTTAATTGTAATAAAATTAGTTATATTGTAAATATAAATGTAAATGGGTATACTTATTGTAAATTTTAATATTTATATATTGTAAATAATAATATTAATTACAAAAAATTCTCATGTATTGATGGTTTTATTTATTCTTATTAATTTTTGAATGAATTTATCAATGAAGACCTCACTCATACTATGATTTCAATGATGTTTAAATGTTATAGAAACGAAGATTGGGAACAATACTTTTCTTTCAAGGTAAAAGGTAATCAGTTTTAGTTTTCAAAATATTTGTAAGAAATTATTGACATACTCTGCCTATACATTGTTAGAATAAAACTGAATAAACAATGAAAAAATATTGTATAAGTATAAGATAATTAAACTCAAGATTATCAATTACTTGTTTGTTATGATAGTACATATAACAAATTTTCAAAATTATTAAAATACTTGTAACAATAAATATTTGTAAACTACTGATTTGAATGAAATTTTAGTTTACAATAGACAAAGACAATATATACATTTTTTAAGTTACTATAATTTAAGTTTAAAGTTGAAAAATGAAATCCTGCTTTACAGGTTGTTTCTAAAAATGTAAATTTGAAAATACTTGGGGACAAAAAAAAGCTTTTAATAAAAATTGATCGATTATCGATATATTAAAAGTAAATATGGTAAATATTTATAATAAAGCATATCTCACTAACTTTGATGACCTTGAAATATGTTATTAAGGACGTCATTCTGAACAACTTTTCCTTATACATGTATCCATGCTTGGCTTTAATTACCGAAATACAGACAAAAATACTGTGATCACCACATATATTTCTAAAATTTAGGATAGGTTTGAAGTTTACGTTATACTTAAGTGAGATTTATATTATATTAATTTACAAAGTAAATGAAAAGTATCAGTATGAAAACACTACCTATATACTGTTTCCATGAACACATCGACTTTGGCAGAAAAGGGAGACCTACAGGGTTGCACTTGCTCTATACTCTATTCAACGAAAATTGATAAGAAAGAAGAGAACTTTATGTAAGCGATGCGTGATCTGACCAAGACCGAAACATCAGACCTGGGTCCAAGCTAATCCAGGCATGAGATCACATATTTCGAGGAAAATTTTGACTAGCCTTGTGTGCAAGAGCTCTTGTTTAGAGTTTGAGCTTGAGTATTGACGTTCAGCAGTCACATACTGTAGCTCCAGCATCGACATGTGACCGTTTTGTTTATATTTCCTGCCAATTCTTGAACGGAGTATAGGCCACAAGCAACCCTCCGCTCTACAACAAAATACAAAATAACCAAATCTAACCTAATTATTAAAAATAATACTTGGAATATTAATTAGGATGATTAATTAACACTATTAATTTGATTAGATTTAGTTATTTTTTATTTCATTATCGAGCGGAGCCTTTTGCTAATATTTCGGAAACTAAAGCCGAACGGCAACGGTCGTTTATTAATAATATTTACAAAACACGTTTTGAAAATATCAACTTTACGAACGATATAAACTTTTATGAAAAAACATTGTTTGAGTTTGAAAAGATGTAAATATTGATAGTTGACGCTACACGCTTGATCAAAATAGTTAATATTAGCAAAAGTGCGAAATCTATATTAAAAATGTGTGCCAAGAAGTCAGACACGAATTACTCTGATAGAGAGTTAGTAATTAAATGATATAATGAAAGCAAGTTGTATAGTGAAATTGCAAAATCATTAAGCAAAAGTAAGTCAACTATATGCGACATAATACTAAAATTTTAAACTAGTAGTACTGTTAATGCATTCCGGTAGACCGAAAAAATTAACTGACCGGAAAAGAAATATAATTGTCGGAGAAATTAAAAAAAATTAAAGTATTTTTGGGCCATAATTTGATAAAATAGTTGCTGATAATTTTGGAAAAAACGTTAGTAGTGAACTTTGTTGAAAAATTTTACATGACACTGATTTTCATGATCGTATTTCACGAAAGAAGCCTATCATAAGTTTAATAAAAGGAAAAGACTAGAATTCGTAAAAGAATATATTAATAAAAATGAAGAATTTTGAAAACTCGTTCTTTTTTCTGACGAGAGCAAATTTAATCTCTTTGATTCAGATGAATGTTATAAAATCTACAGAGAAGCAAATGAGAAGATGGATTTAAAAAATTTGCGGCTAATGGTAAAGCACGGAGGTGACTCGATAGTGGTGTCGGGGTGTATGGGAACCACAAGTGTAGGAAATCTAATGATTACACTGTGCAACAAATTTTAACTTTTTCTCAAATCTGTAATGTCCATTTGGTAACTCTTGTAAAGCTTACCTTCCTGAATACGAATCCATAGACGAAATTGCTCCACCATCTTCAGTTTTCGAAAAATATAACTTTCTCCAAAAACGAGCGATTTTGGTTAAAATGAAGAATTACACAAAAACTAGAAATGTTAGGAGACTTATTCTTATGTTAAAAATTAGATGAGAGTTTCCTGAGTTTATCGATATCCATAATTATAATTATTTATGCTTGTGAATAATTACAATTAGTCATCAAAGTTTAAACATAAGCCACCGAGCGTATTTTGTACGCATTATTCTTGCATTTTTACGAAAAATTCTTTATCCAGCACAAATTTACTATATGGTATCGTATTCTGCAGATTTTTCTGTAGCAGAAACTATCCAGAAGAAATGTTAGAATGATCTTCAAGATTGAGAAAACAGCCATATTCGTCGAACTGGCTTCATTAGGGCCGTAGTCATGCGTACTCATCACTAAGAGCGTTGTCCAATAGATCTAATTTTTTATATGTGTAACACGTGTATGTTTTCATACACTTTTTTAAGTGTACCGCAAAGTTATACAAAATTTCTTTCAATCATTTGTAATTAATATATAATTTCGTTTTTTAATAGAAATGACTTTATAATATAAAGTTGTTAAAAAACAAACGTAATTGTTTATGAATTTATAAATGTTTATAATCATGATTATAACGTTTTCTTAAACATGGTAATATTTGGATATTATTTAATAACAGAATTTGTTGGTAATGGAAAACGTAGCCTTTAAGTATTATTTAAGCATATTTATTAATCACAATTCTCTACCGTGATATCAATTTATACATTTTAGATATTCATGTAGCAATTCCTCGATATAGGTTTGATTGTTTATAGAAAAACAGTATTTTGCCACGCGTTCTATAGAAAAGTGTGCTATCAATGGGCTATCCATGCTACAGATAATCTTTTATTTTATACATGTATATCCTTATATTTTTGGTAGAAAAATTGTATTAATTGCTAAACAATTATGTTCATTCTTTAGATGCGTTGTGTTGAAACGTGCAGTTCACATTTATGCATTGAATACTTTACACTGAAATTTTTCAAAAGTAAGAATGAATGGGAAATATTATTCATGATTTTATGATGAATATATTATTATATATATCCAAGAATATATGAAAAAAAGTGGCGGCAAGACAGCTTACTCGTTACAAATGCATATTTTACCGTCTTGTTAACATCGAAGATCATTCCGACATTTTCCGTGGATGATTCTTGCTTCAGGAAAGTCTACAAAATACAACACCATATAGCAAATTTATACTGAATAAAGAACTTTTTGTAAAAATACAAGAAGAGTACGTAGAAATTAGGTTCGACGGCTTATTTTTAAACTTTGATAACCAATTACAATTATTTACAAGCATAAATAATTATAATCATAGATATCAATAAACTCGGGAAACTCTGACCTAACTTTTAAGGTAAGAATAAGGCTCCTAACATTTTTAGTTTTCGTGTAATCCTTCATTTTAGATTTTCTTCCTTGATTTTATATAATACTTCGCATGTTTTAGAAACACCCCCGTAAAGTCTAGATCTCAACCCTACTGAGCATTTGTGGACAATGATTGGCAAGAAATTAAGTAAATATGGAGCAATTTCAAAGACAGCATTAAAACAACAAATTTTCGAGGTTTGAAATGATATTGACAGAAACCTTACTGAAAATTTAGCACACAGTATGCAACGTCGATTGCAAAATGTAATAAAAGCTCGTGGTACTAAGAAAATACTAAAATCTTACATTTATATATTTATTTGACAAATATGTAATTATGAAATTATTCGAATACTTTTGTGGTGTTTAAATACTTGGTTTTTTATTAATTACCCATATTTTTATTATTAGATACGTATGTTTTTGTTATTTATAAGTATTAAAATATTTAATACATCATCAGTTCAATTGGATCTTAAAGGTGACAATATATATTTTAATAATGAATTTAATCCTTAACAAATCAGTAACAACGGGACTCACTTGACGATCACTACAATTATCTCGGTAATTTGATAATTTTATTGCGGTCACGCGGTATACCGTACTGGTTGTTTCATTTTGAAACTGGCTTAGGCGGTGACTTCAAAAATTATATAAATAGAATTATCGTATTAAAGGTAGCATACTTCAAAGAATCACTGTAGATATATCAGTTTTAGTATAATTTCAATATATCAGTCCAATATGACTTTATTTTCGCTTTATCGAACCAATATAAAATGATATAAGAATTACAATTAAATGCTAAAACCGAAAAAATATCAATAAATGTAGGTAAATATACCGGTATTTTCATATGACGTTAAAAAAGAACAGGAAAAGAATAAGTTGATTTTGGACAAAGTCTCTAAATTGCAGTTTCACTAATATTTTTTCAAAAGCTACATCCTCCATACATCTCATCAAAATCAGTTATTAATTATTAGTAAACTCCTCTCGTTAGAAAAGACAGAATAAACAAAGAGATAGATGTTGGAAAATTGATTACATATGCATACATTATAAGCAAAATCGTTAAGTGACGAAACGATAACGTTAAATGCAGAATATTTTACTTAAAGCTTAAAAACGATCATTTAAGAAGACATAATACGTTTATAAAGTTAGGAGTTAAGAACAATAAGATTGTGAATGTATTGCAATTTGTAATAGAATTCAAACTATCAGTTATATAAGGTATATAAAAATTGTATGTCATGATCAAATTTTTTTATTACAAGAAGAAAATGTCTGAAAAAGACCATGAGTCACAAATGAACCATTCTCTTAAAAAATTCACCATAAATATTTTGATTTGTTGCATAAGACATACAGAGTGATTTACTTAAATTGAACATTTATATCATTTCTGTTACTATGAAAGTTAAGAAAACCTGACAAAGTAGTGTTTGAATGGTTCCAAAGAGTGCATTTGATGGTAACAAAAAAAAGGTTCTATCAAGATCAAGTTGATGAATTTTTCAAAGCTATTGACATTTTTTTCACATTAATGTTTATTTCTTATAGTACGATGTTATAGTCTGTATTAAGATGAGTTCAATAATCTATAATACCGTGACTTTGAAATGACCTTGGAAGCAAAAAAATAAGTTAACATTTGAAGGATATAGAAACAGAGGAATTTACCTTATTTTATTGTAAGTACTCAAAGTGCTGAATGCCTACATCGATACATTTATATATTTTCAAATTTGTTTATTTTTATAAGTATATTGTTTCTAATATCATTTTCTCTTATTTCTTTTTTTTATTACAGAGATATTAATAGAATATATATTAAGTATTAGAAACATTGATATGAACATATTATACTAAAGAGCATAAAACAATTTTATTATACCTAATTTCTCATAGTAATCAAAATAGATTATTGTAATATAATCACGAATAAATGATAATATTAATAAAATTGAATTAAACAATACACATGAATATAAATTTTATTTATATTACATTAAATATTATATTAAATATTTGTTTCCTGAATGTGTTTCTACTTCCTTTACCATTGCATAATACCATGTACTAAGTTTTGTATTATCCAAAGCATCTTCAAAAGCATTACATCCTTCTATGCTTTTCAAAATCCCATAAACAGCAAGATCTGATAAATTAGGCTTTTCACCTCCCATAAAAGTATTACCATGTTTTTTAACAGCATGTAACCATTTGTTGATTTCATCGTATAAAGATTGTCGAACATCATCTTTCAAATTATGTTTTCTTTTTAATCGTTTTGATATCAGCCACATAGCTATAGCACCTATGTTTATCATTATTAATCTTTCCCATGTTGGGAAATATTCTTCCCATTTACCAACCTAAATTAGTAAGCAAATTACTTCTTTACTTTTCCTTCTTTTTTTAAATTTATTTATTAACATTAAAATTATTAGATCTTTTTTATTTATTTTAATATGTTTGCTATTATTAAATAACTTACTTCAGAGAACCAGTTAAAGGTTCTATAAGCTTCATCAAGTGTTCTATATACATTTGGTGAAAGTGTATGCACAAATATATCATCAACCCATTTTCTCCATTTGCGTTCTTCTCTAGAATAAAAAATATATAAAATTTAATAATAGAGAGGTATATAATGTATTAATATATCAGATATAAAATTAAATTAAATTTTTTATATCACAATATTTGTTTTCTATTCATATTGATTTATATTGTTGATCTATTTCAATATTGAAAAATTGAGGGTTCCTTGTATGATAGAACTCACATAATTTCATCCATATATTTATCTGAAGGTAAATTTCCTTTATACATTAAGAAATATTTATTCATGATTTCATATTTGAACTTTTGGTTTTCATCATGCATTGCTATACGCGGATAACATTCTACTAAATCATCTATTTTTTGTGATTTATCTTTTAAATATGATGCTAGTAGAGAAATGATCATTGAACTATCATTTAAAGGTTGATATCCAGAATCTACTTGTGCTAAAAGTACTGGTACTTTCTTATAAGTTGACCAGGATATTTCTTTCCGTAGTACAGGATCAACTTCCACAACATCATAAGATATTCCATAGTAATCCAAAAAAACTCTCACCTAACAATAAGACATATTTATATTTACAATTATTATAATTTATAAATATAGTAATTTATTATTGTTCTAAAACATTTAATTCAAATTTAGGTACAATATTTTACATTTAGTCCAAAAAATATATTTCAACTATCTTTATTTATAACTTTAATTTGATATATATCTTTAAATAAATAGTTAATATAAATATTTTACCTTACAACAAAAAGGACATGTTTGATATTGAAAAAGAGTTAACTTTAAGTCAGTAGTATCCACTGGAAAGACAACCTATAATAAAAGTAAGATGAAGTTGATATTTTGGAAAAATAAAAGTAAAAATAAAAATACACAAATATTAATATAAATTGAAATTAAAAATACAGTTGAAAATACAAATTAATATTATTGTAAAAAAGAATAAAATTAAATGCATGATTTAATGTTTTAAAATACTTAAAGATAAGGGAATTATATTTAAGTTTAATATACTTCTCTGGAAATTGGTACTAGTGGCTTCTTTTGAATTATTTCAATTTTTTCTTCTTTTCCTTCAAGGTGATATGTTTTTGAAGCTTCCTTATTTATGTACCAAGAATAACTCATTGTGATAGCTACACCAACTGGAAATCCAATAGATATTCCTACTAAACTTGCTTTAACAACATTTTTCAACATTGAAGATGGTCCAGGTGACGACAAAAAACTTTCATTTCGTTTTGGGTATCTTTGCATAACATTTTTGATACAATGTAAATTTTGTGGAAATTTTGATAGTCTTTGTAATATAAACATTATAGGATTTTATTACATAAAATAATATGCTTTAAAATAAATTAATTGTTTAAATTTAAAATAAATTAATTGTTTCAGGTATGTTACTTTTAAACAAATTGTTTTGCACTTCTCAATATCACAATTATTAAAATGGAAAAAGGTTATATATTAAAATCACAGAATATATAACTTATTACAAACGTTGCAAATTAAATGTTGATCACATTTAATTTTGATTCTAATACTTAATATAATTTATGAACGAATTATATTAAAATATTATTAAAAAACTATCGATACAAATTTGTATTTTGCAAATTTATAAATATTTATAGTTTATAAACAAATAAATACAACTCAGTTAATATGTTAATAGTACTTATATATATTAATAACTAATAGTTAATATGTTTATTTTTATTAATAAATAACTTAGTATTTTTTACAAAAGGTATGAATTGACTATTAATTATTTATAAAATTATAATTTATCGAAATTAAAATTTATTTTATGAAAATATTTTATTTTAAATATGCTTATTTCAGTTTATTTATAAAATAAAAATAACGATACCAATAATTCATTGTTTAAGAACTTTTTGTTAATTTATATTATTGATAATTGATTTTCATTTGTGTTATTGAATTTTTTTATGCAAACAAATTTGAAAGGTTATGTAATACGGATGGTACAATATATATACATATATAACACAGCACACGCGCGTGCGTACATTATATATTTATATATATGCGCACGCGTGAGAACTGAACCATATAAATCATAATTAGTGATTTTTATGCTATCTCTTAAAAAAACTCAAAATTATAAAATTAAATGTTAACTATTGAATTAAACAAACATTTTGAAATATAAATGAAGTGATTTTCTACACAATACACAAGCACATATGTTAATAATATTTCAAATTATATAGATAAACAAGATTTATGAAATTAAGTGTTCTTATAATATTATTTTAAATATTAGGAATGGGTAGTATATGTATTAATTTTAAAAGTATACTTATCTACTGTACTAATAGATAGAAAAAGTATATATACAGATATCCAAGTAAACTACAGAAACGCACATAACCTTAAAATTAAATAAAAATTTTTAATATATTAATTGAAAATTAAAGAGAGATATTCAATATGGTAATTAAAATTATTTATTTAATTTTATTTTTAGTTCATTATTGCCTTTATAGATTACTAATATGAATATCAATAATAAATATTGTAAATAAAGAAATAAGATTATTTCTGTTTTATATTTGTTTTATATTGTCAATTCGATATTCTAATTATTTGTGAAGTGTTTACTATATTGGTATAATTAACTAAATATTACAATAACAGGATAATAAATTTTCAGCATGGTAGAGTAAAAGTTCGAACAACTGCAGAACAAGAAGCACTAAAAAGAAAGGAAAGAGCTGAGAAGCTTTCACGTTATAGAACTAGCATGAGTATTATATTTAACAAAGTAATTTTACAAACATGTTATTTGATATACACATATATTAATTATATATATATATATATATATATATATA